CCTGGGAGGCTCGGCTACCTACTCACGCGCGGCGGGGCGGGGCTTCTGCAGCACCGCTTCCGGCCCGCCCCACGACCGAAGCTCGGGGGCCGCGGCCTGGCATCACCGGTGACGTCGTTCCTCGGTACCTGCACCTGGAGCCGGGGTTTGGATCTCCGCGCAGCCGCTCACCAGCGGCATCCTGGGAAATCACCCTCCCCGGCCTTGGTGTCTGCGCTTGTGAAAAGAGAACAGCTGCGGAGTGGTCTTCAACGGCTTGAGCTGAAATGTGGTTGCTGAAAATATGTTTTTAAGTGCATGGCTCATGCTACATATTCCATCCCTAACGTGGATGACAGTCTAGCCAAAATAGCCTTGAAATCAGAGCCGCGAATGTGAATTTCGTTTACACTCGTCTGAAATACTTAAATATAACTGTAGAAAAGTTAAGGGAGACCTGAAGAAAAGCAAAGAGCAACAGCAAGCTTCCATTTTGACAAATGTGAGGACTAATTATTCTTTTTAGGGGTGTGTGTGTGTGTGTGTGTGTGTGTGTGTGTGTGTGTGTAGGCATCCCAGACTTTTCCCCTTTTACCAGTGTTCAACCACATTAAAAAGTCATGATTGCATTGATTACTGCATTACTTAAAACTAGTTGAGGGTATTTCCAGGTAAATGATTTTTTTATTGTAATTTTAGTATGAAAGTTTTCATGAACTGTAGAGGTGAAAAATAAAATACATTATTTTGGCCAAGGAGGGTGGGGTGGGGAGTTCATATGATATTTTAAATTCCATTTTTATGCCAGCCAAAATTCAGAAATGGTCCCCACACTTTTGTCCTAGGATATCTGTTCTTCAGCATGGCAGGAGCAGTCAGTAGGCAGAACACCCTTATAACTTTAAATATTCCTTTCTCTCCTGTGCAAAAGTTATTTTTCCTTACTCTCTGCTTAATATTGCTGTACACTTTGCATCCTGCTGTAACTATGATAATCTAAAAAACAACCCAAAAACCTTAAAAATAAGTTGGTAATTTGAAAACCATCTAAACAAATTCATAATCTGTATTCCAGTAATAAAATCAAATTAGCTTATTGCTGAGGTAAACATGTTTTAGTAACATGATCTAATGCTGTCTCGTGGCATTAGCCAGGGGTTGAATCAGTCTAAAACGGCAAAAACAAACTCTGCAATAAATTGAAAAGAAAAACAAAGAGCCAATTGTTAAAGACTTCATGAATTGACTTTCATAAACAAGATAGCTCTACATTGCATCTATTCAAAATCTCATTCTCTTACTGGCAAGAAGAGTAATCAACAATCACTGTTTTTTGTCTTTTTACAAATTGGCAATTGAACGTAGAGTTATAATTTTCGTTGCTTAAAGCAGAACTCATTTTCATGGTTCATAAGTACATTTCCTAGTTTAATGAAAATTTAAAATGCAAGTCACATTCCAACATGAACTGGAAATATTTTCTAAGAAGAGTTATTTTTAACACAAATATGCAATTGAAGTGTAGTCTATTACAAACAATTCCTGGCAACAGAAAAGCATAGAAATTCTAACGTTTTTAGCTTGGGCATTTACATTTTTGTCATTATTTCTAGACTTTCATATGTCAACTAAAAGCGGACAACAAAGCAACATGCCAAATCTCTCCTTTCACTTTATAGTATAAGTTTCATCACCATGACAAAAAATAAATACAGGTATTACTGTAATTTATCTACTTGAAAACATAATTGTGGTTTAAATTTTCGCTTAGTGGTACATAAAGAGCTAAATAGGTGAATTTGGTTCTAATTCTGTGAAAAACAAAGCTGAATAAAATTCAATAACCAGGACTGTCCATCAAATCAAAAACAGAACTTTCTTGTGGTTTTTACATAGTTTTATATATATATATTTAGTAGAGCATATTTTTAAGGTAATCCCATTCCTCAAATAGGGAGATATGTTTTCATCATCATTGATGCACAAGAATAAGGTGGTAAAAATGCACGTTAAGTTGATTTTAAGCATAAAGACATCGTTAACAGTAGGGGCTTCACTTACGGAGCCCAATATGCTAGGTATTATGATAAGGGCTTTCATTGTATTAACTCTTCCTCACAACTCTGATATTATAATTACCAACATTTTACAGATGATCAAAGGCTTAATAACCTGCTCAAGAACACAGCTAAGCAGCAGAGCAAAGATTCAAACCCAGGCAGTCTGATTCCAGAGCCTATCCTCAGCTACTCTGCCCCTTTGAGAATGAATATGTCAGAAAATAGGCTATTAGGAAGGCAGAAAATTCTTAGACCAAAGGTACATGTGATATTTGGAAAGATGTGCATGGAAATTAGTAAAATGTGTTCATTTTGTGAAGCCATTTGTAAACTATAATCCCCTATATGTAAGAAACAAATGAAAATACCAAGTAAACTTGTTTTATTTGATGCTATGTGAATACATTTGTTTTAATTGAAATTTGGTCAGATTTTTTTTTGTCATGAGACTATACTATTGATATTCAACTACCAGAATTTTTTATATGGCATTAGTCATAAAACATTAGTTTCTTAGTACACTATGCCTAAATGTAGTAATTTCAGTGTTGAAGACCTGTGCATCTTAACTGAAGTATGTAGAAGCCTAGGGGTCTTCTGATAATAACCCAAAAAACAAGTATAAAGATTTAACACCTTGCTGACCACCTATTTTGAGCCAGAGCTCGCCCGTGTGGCTGGCTACTTTTCTGCACTTGAATATTAAATGAAAGCATCTGAATAAACTTAAATATACTTTATTTTGTCATATATTACCATACGTTGAAATCAAGCATATTGCATATATTTTAATATTTTAAAATATTTTTCATATATTTTTAAAAATATTTTTTGAGTGTGATATATTGTATAGCATGTATTTACATGCAATGGTACTAAACATGTTTTACATACATATCATGTTTCGCTGCCCTTTCCCTTAGAAGAACATAGTTTACATGCCCTAGTGGGATTTTTTTTTACCGCTGGTTACTATTTTTTGTATAACATGATCTTTTTATTTTCCTGATAATCTGATGGCGAATCTGTATTTGGCACACATAACGAAGAGGAAAACTAGGGACAGCCAAAATAAGTGCCTAGCAGTGAAGTGCAGACACGAGTTATCTCATGACTGGTCAGTGACATTTGGGAATGGAAACACAAGTTAACTCATGACCAGTCAGCAACGTCCGGATATGGAAACGTGTGTATACTGGTGACCTGTCAGCAAGGTGTTTAATAAGGATTTCCACCAGTAAGGATATCTTTCTTCTAGGGGCAAGATCATTCATTGTGCCTTTTAAGACAATAAGAAAATTGCAGAAAATCAAGTGAAGGGTTTCACACTCTTGCCTTTCCTATTAAATGGAGTGTGAAGAAACAGGCTATTTCTTGCACCACTTCTGCCAGAAATGAAATTCTGAACCACTTAATTAATTTCCCAAAGTCAGAAATTATGGGCCCATGAATATATTCAATAAAAATTCCTACTTCCTTTGGGCCACTGAGGAGCAAATTTCCCTAATTCTATTATGAAATGTAAAAACCAAGCAAGCATGATTCCTAAACTATGCAGATATGTGGACATTAAATATTCTCCTCCCTTGATGCAGATATGGGAACTTTCTCTGGAAAGAGGCTCACAAAACTTTGCCATGTTGCTTAAGAAAAATAGACCTCGGCCACAGAATATTCTCCCTTCTGCTTTCCCTAACTAGGAAAAACTTTTAGCAGCAGGGTCAGAGGAGTTTCAGGCACCAGGTAGGGGATTTTCTTACTGTCAGCCTCTTCTGAATTATCCCTCTTACAAGCTGGTGCTGTTGTGTAACTTCTTGACTATTTTCCCATTTATGATCCAACTGCTACCAAGAAATGCATTTTCAACCTTTTTCATCTCATGACACACATAAACCAATTACTAAAATTCTGTGGCACACCAAAAAATATATTTTTTACAGATCTGACCAAAAAATAGGTGTAATTTTGATTGATTTACCAAAAAAAAAAAAAAAAAAGTAATTACCTACCCTTTTTGCTCCAAAGTGACTTTTTAAAAATCAGATGCCTATACTTGTATATAAGGATTTCTGGTACTAAGAATTAACCAATCAGACAACCTTATTATGCAACGTGACCAATAAGAGGCAACTCCATTTTTTAAAAATGTATCTTTATTGTTGAAAATATTTTTCCCCCATTGATCCCTTCCACCCTGCACCCACTCCCTGTCCCAGACCTTCACCACACTATTGTCTGTGTCCATGGGTTATGCATATATGCATATAAATTCTTTGGTTAATCTTTCCCCAACAACCCGCCCACCCCCACCTTCCCTCTGAGATTCGTCAGTCTGTTCCATGCTTCTATGTCACTGAATCTATTTTGTTCATCAGTTTATTATGTTCTTTAGATTCCACATATAAGTGAGACCATGTGATAT